GTTTCCTTTTTCTGTGGGTAATAATCAACGATTCATTATTCACAAATGAACCTAAAACGGCTGTCTCCTGGGCTCTTGTGCTGTGTCGTCTGGTAGAAGTTTACCAACGTTTCCGATGTCCTTGCTGCGATCGCCCTGATGATGGAAACAGCAAGAACCTCTGAAACGCTGGTAAACTTCTACCAGACGACACAACACAACCCAGAAGACACCCATCTAGTGTGTGTCTGTAAATAAACTTACGTATTTGCTACATTTACGAGGTTTTCTTTCATTTTTGTGGACTATCAGAGGTTTTGATTATCAGGGGGAGTACACTTCCCAACCAACTCCGATAACCGGGAGTCCACTGTAATTTAATCTTCAGCTTTTTAGAACACGCACGGTTCGGTAGTTTCTACTATGAGAACTGAAAATGTTTTAAAACTCATTTACACAAATACCAGTATTATAACTAGACTGTGCATGAACCAACTGAATTAGTAGATCACATGCTGGGGAAGACATACGACCCCAACTTGTCTGCTGTCAGCATTCAGCAGGGGAGAAGATGAGGAATCTACGACACATTCAGTTCGCTCGCAGTAATCGAGAAAAAGAAACCACGAGAAACTGCGTCATAATGCACATTATTTGAAACTGTTTACTCATCTGCCGTCAGTCAGTACATTTGCCATATGTAGTCGTTCATTCGACTTTTTAATACAGCAGCATTCACACAGAGAACGGGATGGAAAAACTTTGTTTGCTCCAGGTATAAATTGTAACAATTGATCGAATCGTGAGCGAATACACTGGTAGTAGCGGTGGAAGTCAACTACTAATTGCACAGCTTTATTTACAAAACACCCAATTATTATTTTTACAAAAAAACGAATTCCATCAACAACGGAATTTCATTCTCCCGACTGAAATTTAAAACGCGACGAATTTTATAATCCCAACAAAAAATAAAAAATCGCAGGTTATAATTGGATTAAGGTATTATACAAGATTAAATACATATTACATATTAATATAAATATTAAATTAAAAATTTGATCATTTTACAGGTTTCTGGCTCTGCAAGATTTCCAATACAAGCTACGAGAGTAATTTAGTAACAGTTTATACAAATTAACACATTTAATTTGTTTCAAAATTCGTAGGCCAGTACTAAAATGAAGTTCCGTATCACAGGCACGTAGTGACACTTTGTAACTATGGTGATAATGTAAAATAAATTAAAAAAATGGTATACATGCATTACTTATTCCAGAAAACATTTATTATCTAAGACAAAGAATATTTAAGAACGATATCAATCATTACTTGTAATAATCCATCCACTTTGGGCCAACAAAGTTAATTTGTGAAAGCAAAGACACCAACTGGACTCTTTAGTTACAAACAGTGGAACAAAAAATGTCACGGTTTCACTTTGTTGGAAAAGCACACAAAGAAGACAATTCTGTGAAAAAGAACTCGACATGACAAGGGTTAAACTTAACTGGAGCGAATTAAATAAAACTAAATTGGGTTAATGGCTGCAGTAAAGCATGCAAGAAATTTGGTAGTGCGGATAACTACGGTTCACAGCATCTGCCTCAGCAAATGAAATAAAATCTTAGGAATATTTTACAGGATTCCGAGGAAGTTTCTGTGAACAAGGAAAACACGAAACAAAAAGCACGATATCTCTGGTGCAGCATGAACGGAATTGTCTTTCCCCGAGTGCTTAAACATCACACTTTTTGCTTCATAAACACAATACACCAGTAGAAACCGCGAACGACTGCCCCTTTATTCAAAACACCAAGTACTTCCGAAACGTCGGTAAACTTCTATCACACGACGACGCGCTACATCACAGAAGACGGCCTTCTTAATTCTCGCGGCCGTTACAACCTCAAATCCTACTTATTAAATCTACTAAGCTATACTTGCTTCTTTCTCGTTTGGTAATACAGCATCATCATATATAACCCATTCCCGTCGGTGCCCAGGTAGAACGGCTTGGCAGGGAAACCTCGCTGTGTGTGGGCAAGAAAGTATGGATGACTAACCTGCTTCAGTTCCCTAAACATTAAACCTAAATGACACGTTTTATAAACTACTCCTGCCATTCACAATACTACTGGAGGCTACATTCAGTCTTGCGTGTTGCTTGTTACTCATCAATCATAACAAATTCAATTTCCTTCCCTTACAACAGCCTCAAAACTGTGAAGGTCCTTTACAACTGCAATCCCCCTCAAACTACTGCCACCGCTAATAAAATTACTTATGACATGCCTAAAATAAATTAATTTTAACAGAGAAAATAATGGATTTCACAATTTGTGCTCTTAAAAAATATTATTAAAATGGAAATATCCAGAAGGATAAGTTGAGAAATGCATGCAGAAGTTTGGTCGGACAACATGAAAGAAAACTATCCCTTGGGAGACCCTGGTGTAGATGGGGCGATAATATTAAAACGAATCTTAGAAACATATAGTTTGAAGGCGCGGACTGGATTAAACAATTTCGTGCCTTGGCAAACAAGGCAATGGAATTTCTTGATAGTGAACAATTTCGTAAACACACAACAAAATATTTCCTAACATAACAAAAATTTACACTTGGTTTCTTTTGGGCAAAAACTGAATGTTTGTGCACTATTTAGATCAGCGCTGATGTTAAAGGGAAAATTTATAATCAGGTGAAACAATGGAACAACGTTGTTGACCCACTGTGACGGAGGGATCACCCACTGACGACACAGCGCTGGAACACAGCCAGTTCATAAGTAACGTTCGTGCTAGAGCACGGCTTACCTCGAGGAATGAACACATGTAGTAGGTGTGTGTAAAGGTTACTTCTAGAAATCTTAAATCTCTGACTCTGTGGGCGAGACTGCCTCATATTGCAATTAAAACAATATATACCTCACAATCCTAAAAGTGCGCGCGTTATTTAATGGCCGTTTTGAGTGAATAAGCCACTCTTTAATCAATGTGAATAAATTAATGAAGAGAAGTGCAATATTTTATTGAAATTACAGGCCCCTATTCGTTCCATAAATCCTCTATCTCACCGCACCGATATATTCATTCAATGAGACTCCTCCTTGAGTATACGCAGGCCACGCAACATCGTAAACGGCTGGTGGCAATATAATGGTAATAAGTGTTCATCTTCGATTTGTTTATGTACGTTACAGACAGAAAATGAAGGCAAAACAAACAGATAGAAAGTCAATATTCATTTCATGTCCCTGCACAATAGGCATTGTATTAAAAACTGTTGAATTAGAAATTTTGGGTGGGACTCAACTACTTCTCTGTTCCTATCCAATTCCAAGGAGCAGGGTCTTTCTTGAAGAAAGATTATAGTTGCTTAGTTACACAGGACTTCTACAGAATTTTGTGGAACCAAAATGTTCATCACAGTGTTCTCAAGAACAGATACCAAGTCACGGTTCCAATAAATCACGCAAAATATCACTTTTCCACAGAATGTAATAGAAAATACAGGTGATTAGTTATACGCGCTTCCGCCATCCGCGGATGAGTAACTGTGACGAGGTGAATGCAGGATGGTACTCCTCCGGAGTACCATAGTTCGTGTCGTTACAGGCGCGGTACCTCACGCGACGAGGCTGTTAAACTCAAGAGTACTTAAAAATAAAAGTCTCTTAGCTGGACAGTTCTTGATAAACAGCTCACGAGGAAAAGACTAATTAAAACTCCGTAATTATTTTCGCATTTAACGTAAGAACCAGTTCCAGGTGTTGCAACCTGTCATTTCAGTGAATGCAATGTAATATATCTGATATATTACCTGTTAATACTAAAAAGAAATAAAAGGAAAACGAAAGAGACGATAAAAGTGGATAAAGAAAAGAAGAAAAACTACGGAATGCGAACTCCGTATATTGCAAGAATAAAATTATGTGCAGACGCCAAGTTTCGGAAGTTCGAAATGATTTATGATGATAAAAACGAATGTTTGTCAAATCTTTTCAACGAACTCGTGTCTTCGGGTTTCGACGGCTGGTACACAATGTGAGACTTCCGCTTTCGGGGATAAACCGCCCCATACACTGTTTCTAAAAACTCCCAACCAACACATATATTCACCCTGAAGACGGAAACTGCGATGTCTGCCACGACGCTGGATGAACAATGTTCGACGCCGCCCATCCCCGAAAGACGAGGTTTCACACTTTTGTTCCCGTATCTTCGCACATAACTAATTTTTAGACTGTGGTATTCTGGGTTAATGCGCCTCGCGGTCTTCTCGTTGCATACCAAAGTTCTGGAAGACCATGCTGCCCCCATCTTCAAGGATACAACGAGAATAGTTACGATATTGGTGGATTACATGAGGTTAGTGGAAGATCGTGCTAGGGAGTAGCCTACTACATGACGGCCGCAACACCGCGACTCGAACTTCGCCGTCGTGAGCAGGTAGCTGTTCCACCGCTTCCAACTCTTCCTACGTCAGAAATATCTCCGTAATGAAG